GGAAAATAAGAAGCCATAAGACCCGAAAGTGAGTGGTTTGGCATCAAACTGAGGAGAGCCTCTAATGCCACAGATAGAGAGGGTGGTGGGCGACTGACGGGCTTGTGTGTGTCCACCGAGACATAAGAAACTGAGACTGCGTCCTTCCTAAGCAACAGTCACTTTATTAGAACACTGAGATGCTCATCTGTTAAATGTCCCTGCTGCCAAGCCTGATGGCCTGATTGGATTCCTAGAACTGCATGGCGGAAGGAGAGAACCGACTCCTGGGAGTGGTCCTCTGACTTCCAAGTACACGTGGTAGCCTGACTGTCCCTGTGCACGTAGGCTCCAGTCAGCAGTGGTTGGTAGCACTGCAGATGGTGGGTATGCCTGTGCACATATGCACGAGTAAGTGATTTTTAATAGTGCACATGATAGCACGAGTGTGTCTGTGCATGTATATACTAATCAACAGGTTATTTTTAATTGCAGCATTTTAGGTGAAAAGTACATAACTTTAGAACTCAGCTGGCTAAGCATGTTTATACATAACCCATAGCCAGCTAGTAAATTTTAAGGCACAGATACCACATAGCCTCTGCTATAACTCTTCCCCATATCTATTCATAAGACGACAAGTGAGCTGTCTTACTAAGAAAAACCGTTGAAGAGCTGTGTTCGGTCTCAGACTTTCCTTTTTCTAGAAGTTTAGTACTATGATCAAATCACTACCCTGAAAGTATAAGGCAAGTAAATTCAGCACCATTAACAAGAACATAAATAGGCTACAGGGAATTACCTCCAAAGGCCCCAGAGCCCTTCCACCCTAAAGACTTGTAACAGTTAGCTAAGGTTTCACTCCTAGCTGTTGATAGCATGTCTGTCAGAACCATAGCTGTCCCTTAAATAGTAGCTCAGAAATTCTGGAAAATGTGCTATTTATTCCATAGACTCCACATCATAACCTGTTAGCATGTATTCACAGAGATAATCTGCAAAGGAGAGGACGGAAAGGCTTCTGCTAGTCTGCAATCCTAATGCAAACCTTCAGGAACTTCATCCAAAGAAGACTGGTTGGTATTGACTTGGGAAACCCACATACTGCATTTCAGAGCTGATTTCTGATAACTATAACAAGCTACTTAGTAATCCTTTAAAAAGAAGAAAACACAACCAGGAAATCTAGACTCGTGAATTCATCTTTTGTTTTTTCAGTTTTTAATCTTCTTCTTTCTACACTGAGCCTTCACAGATGTAGTGTTTTAATCCACTTGGTGGTTAGTTCATACTGTAACCCATGCTCACTGCACTCAACAGGCAACATGCATTTCCAGCTAAGCCCACGCCCATGCACTACCTACCCTCCTGAGCCACACCCACATCCTTCAGTGTGCTCACTGGTCCCATCCTCCAGTTCCGTTTGTAACATCTACTCAGTCTCTGATTCACAAGCCAGCATTCACAGTTTATGCTACCACATAGACTTTTCTTATTTTTGCTATAATCCTTGGTTCTCATCAGTGATAGTTATGGAAAACAACATCTTAAAAAATAGGGTTCTAGGAGATAGGAGATGGCTCCGTGAGTGAAGTGCTTCCTGGACAATCATGAGTACCTGAGTACAGATCCCTGACATCTATGTAAAATGCTGGACATGGTTGTACATACCATAACATGGACAAGACCCATGTTTCATGTCTTGGGGACATGGACACAGGAAGATGCCTGGAGCTCACTGCCCAGGCAATCTGTCTCAACCAGTGGTTGAGTGAGAGATAATGTCTCAAAAAATCAGGTGGGAACCAAGAGAGGAAGGTACCCCATATCACCCTCTGACCTGCACACACACGCTCGTGTGCACACACACAAACACCACGAATAAGTAAGAGTTTTAAATAATTACTTAAATAGAGCTCCCAAAATGTAATTTAGTATTTGCCTCAAATGCAAGTTTGTTTTTTAAGTATATAATTGCATACAGCTAAACCTAGTAAACTTCTCAAGGAGCAAGTTAACATTCTGGCATCAAGGTTGCCAAATTAAGCATTTTCTATGTCACTGAGGCTGGTACCTCTTAGTAAACTTTGAAATTATTTGCAGATAAAAAGTAGGATTTCTCTGTGATTCATTGACAAGTGAATTAGTGGTACTGCCTTGATAATCCTTTTTCTCCAATTACAAATTGATAAGTTGTTACTGTTGACATGATCTAGCTTACATTAATTATGATCAGTTTCTTAGAGCTCCATCAACAACACCAAAATATCAAGACCCATTTTTCTTTTTTTTTCTTTTTTTTATTTTTATTTTTGAATATTGTTTTTATTCCTCTAATTGCCTTAAAATAATTTTTTATTAAAATTTATTTTTTCTCAAATCGTAGTTCATTCACACAGGGGTTATAAACACAGAAAGGCAGGATGTGGGGAAGGGAATGACACTGGAGTGTGGGTGTTCAGGGGGAATACAGATATCTTTCAGAACCGGGTATCAGCTAGGTGAAGGTTCAGGGGACAAGTCACTATGACTCTGCCTATGACTCGCTTGTCCTTATCTAAGTTGGTATTGTCTGCCAAGGCTACCTATTTACAAGGTCTATGACTATTTGGGCTGGTAAATTTCCACAAAAGCTGCCTGTTTACATTAGCTTATAGCCATCTGTTTCAATGTTTTTCCACTGAGACCCAAGACTTGGTGTTAGTGTACATGTATGACAGACCTATTGCTGATTTTAGGCCTATGGCTGATTTTAGGCCTTCAGTGTGTAATCAGGGCTGCCCGTGACATTTCCTCCCTTCTCTAAGTATAGAAGGGCTGTGGCAATTCTAAACTTGCGAAGGCTGGGATAAAGGCCTGACCTCCAGTATTTGAAGGGGACCTTGTAATGGCTCCAGTCTCCCTGTCGTTGTCCAGTGAGGCATGAGGGCCATACCCGTCCCAATAAGACCCATTTTTCATGTCACGGAATTGTAGAAATACTTGTGAACACTGCTGGAAATGCTAGCCTTGTGTTCTCAGTACAGTTGGTGAGGGTGACCTCCTCTCGACTGAGTGTTCTAGTTGAATATGTGTTCTGTAGTTAATCACCAAATTACCCTTCTAATATGATGTCGTTGTAGCAATGTAATAGTACAGAATATATCTGCAGAACTGCAGAGTTTTTTTTTTTCCCCAACCCTTGGGCTAGGGGACTGGAGCCAGGGGCCAGGGGCCAGGGGATTCTTCCCTCAGGCAGTTTATGATCCAGTGACTCCAGCTGTCACTGTGCTCCGCATTTTGACTGCTAGTGTGGTTGGTTGGTTGGATGCTCTTTTGGGTTTTTTGCTTCTTTTCTTTTCCCTTCCCTTTGCTTTCCTAAACAGGTTTTCACTGTATCCCAAGCTGGCCTCAAACGTATGATCTTCTCCTCTGTCTCCTGACTATAAAGAGTCATACCTGCTCCTGTGATACTTTTTAGATTCCAGATGTTTCACTCTAAGATTTTTGATTTATGTGCTTCTTAATTTATTTAAACTTCTTTCTGACACTTCTCTAAAGATAAACAATAACAATAAAAACCAGTTTCTGACATATTCCAGTCATATTCTGTATTCTCAGTGGCCTGGAGGGACTCATGTGCCAATCTCTGAATCAGTCCCTTGTGCTGATGCACGGACATCATTGTGTGGGCTACCCTAAGACTACCATCATGGCTGAAGATGAGACTAAACCCATCCAAAACAGGATGGTGGCACAGTCCATAAAGGGAAATGGCAGTGAATGAGGGTGAGCAGGTGGGACATAAACCAAAGCTGCAGCTGCCGTGGCTCTGTCTTCTTTCTGAAAATGACTCCAATGAAGAGATGGTTGTTATGTGGAGAAGCAGACCAGAGGAGAGAAGGATGACCTCTGCTGTGGCTGGTTCCGTTGCTGCAGCAGCCATGACTTAGTGAGTGAGCATGCATGGTGCACACAAAGCTCTGGCCAGAGCGCCAAAACAGTGCAATGAGTGCAAAACGTAAAGCTGCACTAAGTGGTCTCCCAGTACTGGTCACGCATGTGTCTGAAATGTAGTCAATGCTAAACTTTAATTTCATTTAATTTTAATTGATTTAAGTTTAAAAAGTTATACTTAGTTGTAAACAACTTTTAAGAATATTTGGGACAACTTAAGCATATGAATCTATTTTTCAGTTCTAAGTTTTATTAAATCTAAATGTCAGTCAAATATTTACAATGAAAATGTGCTTAACTTTTAAAATATAGTATGTATTTAAAAATATAAATTTATCTTTCCAAGATTTGAGATATATTGAATATATATATGAAATATATTGAGATATATATTTAAATAAATCAACTTAACTTTTTTCTAACTTCATAAAATGAGACTGTCAGTTTTAAATTACTGTTTGTATCATAGTATGCCTTGGACTGTGATAGTTAAAACTTTCCTAAGACATCATTGGAGGGTGGAGAGATGACTCAGCTGTTAGAGGCTAGACTCACAGCCAGAAAGATATCAGGGCCTCTGCCAGATACGCAGACATGTGTAGTAGCTGAACAGCAAAACTGTGTAAGATCCATAGCTTGTCAGAGTACAGCCTCCTGTGCCTGTACATACACACAACGGTGTAGTTTAGATAGTTTTAAGTTTTAGTAGGTCACCGAATCTAGATATTAATATCATTTGACTTTTTAAGTTTTATCTTATTTGTTATTAGAGAAAATATAATTTCTTAGAAAATATCAATAAACTAAATCAGTGCAGATAGGCGCAAACAGACGTTTGTCTTTGAATAGACGTGTTTGACAGTTCATGGCATGAGATAGTTAACCAACTTGATGTGTATAGACGAGTGATGGCCCCATTGCCCACGATGTACGGTCTCTGTGTCCCTTTTGTCCTCAGTAGGAAACTCGGACAAAGCTCAGTGGAGCCTTCAGTGCTTCTCGTTCTGTCCAGCCTCCTAATGAGCTAGAATATGGCACGAAGCTCCCTCCACAGCTTACCTCCTTCCTCTTGTTCTTTCCACCAGGAGGGGATTTCCTGACCTTCCTGAGGAAGAGGAAGGACGAGCTAAAGCTGAAGCAGTTGGTGAAATTTTCCTTGGACGTTGCTTCTGGCATGTTGTATCTGGAGGGTAGGAACTGTATTCACAGGTAAGGAGAATCTGTCAACAGCGTGTCCACTTTTATGAGTACAATCCTAGAAAACGAGCCCATTGTCTGGACTGCTACAATAGAGTCCCTCTATAAAGCTTATTTGTTGCTTTTTATATTTTGTGTGAAAGCATTCGTTGGTAGCTCTACAGAAACACTTGATTCGTCTCTTATAGTACCTACTCTAATTAACCTCTTAATTAGAATTTGCTTTATTGTAATCAAGCCTGACATGACCTGCACTGAAGCCACAAAATGGCTTCACGTGTTGCCCACTGTCAGTTTCCAAAATAATGGAAGAACCTAAGACTAGGAGAACAACTCCCTCTTTTCTTTCGTTGTGTTCTTTTCTTGTTCTTGTTCTTGTTCTTGCTTGTCTGAGACAGGGTCTCTATGTAACCTGGCTGTCCTGGAACTCACTACGTAGACCAGGTTAGCCTCAAACTCAGAGACTCGCCTGCTTCTGCCTCCCTAGTGCTGGATTAAAAAGGCATGCCTCCATGCTCAGCTCTGACAATAACTCTTAGCTGTGAAGACTGCCAAGGGTAAAAGATTTAGAACTGTCTTCTCAAAGGGAAGTTTAGAAAACCTCTGATTTTGCACAGTGGCCTGGTCTTCCTGCTTACAGGTTATGGTATTGTTTTTATTTTTTTAATATTTATTTATTTTATTGTATGTGTATGATGAGGGTATCCAGTCCCCTGGGGCTGAGTTTTAAATGGTCATGAGCAGCTGTGTGTGCGGACAGTCTGAGAGCAGTAAGAGCTCTTGACCCCTAAACCATCATCTCTCTAGCCCCTAGATTGTGGTTTTAGTTGTTTGAAGCTGAGAGCGACCTTTAAGATTGAGCGCAGTGCACCTTGAGACCTGTTGAAGAATTTGTGCCACATCTCAGATGTGGTTAATTAAGTGGGCATGAGGAAAATTACAAAAAGAGCTGGTGCAGATTTTATCTGCTGGATCAGAACCTCATCACACTGCATGCGCTGGAGGAAGGTGGCTGTCACGCCCCAGTGCCACAGCCCTTACCTGCTGGTTTCATTACTGCACTCTGCTGTTGACTGAGGTTTCTTATCACACAGCCTTGACTTGATACTGCACTGAGAGTATTGATTCTGCATTCTGACAAGGCAGCAAAATGTAGAATTACAGCAAAACAGTCAACTGCTATAGCACAGATTTAGAAGAGTGTTCAGTAATTTCTTTCCTTTTTAAAAACATCAGTGGGAATATTGTCTTCCCAGAAATTAAAATGACTATGACTAAGCCATACCACTATATTTCTGCCTTACTTTGTATGAAGGTGTGCCAAATCACCCTGTAGAGAATTTTAAGCCATAACAAACAAACAAGCAAAAGTAAACCAGATTAAAAGAATACTAACATAAGAGGTCTTGTTCCTATATTTTTTAAATTTTTTCCGAGATTTTAAGTTACTTTATGTATCAAACATTTTATCAGATTCTCTATAGTATCTCTTCTTAGGGTTTGTTCTGTTATAGGCCGTCTGTGGCTATAAGTCTTAAGTAATATACATCATTAAAATTACTTTAATAATTTGTAAGTTATCTCCAGTATACCGTGTATCCTTCCCCACCCCCATGCTGGGGACTGGACATAGGCCTCCTATGGAGTGCAGGGGCTCTACACTGAGTTCACTCTCAAGCCCTCAGTCCGGCCGTACTGATCTTTAATTTTGAGTGTGCTGCATTTGGTTAAATTGCTTAAATTTCATATTATTTGCAATGATGACATCTTGCAAGAGATTGACTTTTTAATCATTAGAATTAAAATGATTTTGGATTACAGATGGCAATGGTGTTTAATTTTTGTTCCTCTTTCTAAATCTTTACAATATTTCCTTTTCCATTTTCATATTTTTGCATGCTTTTGAAAACCATTCTTTGCTTGACTTGTCATAGCAGTTGTGTGTATTTGCTAGCTAGCAAGATGTTGCTGTTGAGCGTTTTGAACAGTGTCACTGAGGGCAGGTGTAAATAGGCCTCAGAGTTAATGGCAACCTTCACTGATTGGTTTTGGCTCTCTGTAGTATGCAATAAGAAACCCAGGGTCTCTAACAAGATTCGGTAATTGATTAGTCATGACTGATAATCATTAGCATAACAGCGCCAATTTAGTCATTCTTGGCATTCAGTAACCTTCTGTCTTTCATATACTTCTAATGTTTAATCTTTGACATGATTTTTCTAGCCTAATATTATAACAGTGTATTACTTTTCTGTGATCACATCCGTTGAGTTTTTCTAATGCATGTCTTATTTCCCTTGCTAATTATGAGAACGAGATGATTTCATATCTACAGCAGATATTGTTCTTTTTTAAACTGAGATGAATTCCGTTTTCTTCTCATTTTGCTCGAGCAATCTGTGGCATTGTATTGAGAGAATAAACCACTCTTCGCCTTGCATTTTTAAGTCATGAATTGAACGGTAGAGCCTTGTTCACAGTGCCAGTCTAGGGAGCTGTTTCTCTGGGAGAAGCAGTAATCAGAATGGAGTCAGCTTGCTATATAGTTAAAAACAGTCAGCACACATTATCAAAGAAATACCCAAGATATGTGTACTGAAATCAGAGGAGGTTTTTTTTTTTAATAATTTCTGATGGGGATATTATAAAAATTAATTTAAATAATAGAAATCATGATGAAATTGTATTATTATTTTTCAGATAATGAGTAAATCACTGAGTCTCATTTTTCTCTTCCATCCCAAATGGAGTTTCCTGTCTCTCCTTTCCTACAAGTCACTCCCCACCACCCCTCACGTTTTTACTGTACATGCATATAGAAACATAATGGTTAATTACAAGAAACAAAGACATTTATTTTTCTTACTGAGAATTTTGTGATTCTTAGCACTTAAATATCAAATTAGTACATCCTTGTGTTGTACTACATTAGAATATTTGATTTTTAAAAATTGCTATTTGAGTTGCAGATTTGAATAGCATTTTAAATTCACTAAGTAGTCTTTTGCTTGGAAATAGGACAGAACTTCCTGTAATTTTTGAAGTTTTTCTAAGCATACTTCTGCCATTTTGTGTTTATTTGAAGCAATATTCTCATCATTGGCAAAAATCAAAACATTAATAAACTCTGAAGTATAATAAAAATATTCTGTGTCCTGTAGTATCAAACATTCAGCCAATATTCAATTCTTAATAAATATAATTAAATTTACTTTTTAAAAATAAAAATACACAAAAATATTTATCTCATTAGTGTATACATTTGATTTAATTTTTAAAAATCATAAGTATTTAAAATAAACTTTATAAACTATCAGCTAATACTTGATATTTATCTGTAATATACATACCTGATATAGTAATTATATATTAATATGTAATATATTTATCACCAGAGACATTTAAAATTGCCCTAGGGTTGTGGAAACAGCTTGTGAGGCCCAATCTACTTGGATCTACATGTTAGTGTCTTATGGACAGACTACATTTGGACAGTCTCCCATTATTCCAGTGTCTAAGTATGCTCCTCTGTCTTGTTTAGGCTTTTGGTACAAGTTAAATATCCAGTGCAGGACACCAGATATGTTCTGAGTATTGTGGACTTTGTATAATGTACATTAAGCGTGGTGAGGCCCGTGTCTAAGCTCAGAATGTGTTTACATCTCAGAATGCACTTAAATGTGTTAGCGGAGGTAACTTCATGCAGTCTTTTGATCATGCCTTGCTTTGATGGCAACCTGACACATGAGGTGTGCGTAGAGCAAGCAGCTATTGACTCTTTACTAAGTACTAGCCACTCAATAAGGGTGCTAGTGAAGACTTGCTGAGGGTGGCAGTAAAGACTTCCTGAGGGTGTTAGTGAAGACTTCCTGAGGGTGTTAGTGAAGACTTCCGGAGGACAGTTGCTCTTTGTTGACTGGGGAAAACAGAAAACAAGCCCTGCAACACTGTCTGGCTCTTAAAGGTTAGTGAATGGGTTCTGAGTAAATCCCAGCTCTGGTTCTGTCCCAGGTCCCACAGAGGCTCTGTATGAGACTTCCTACCACTGTAAAGGCATCCATTTGGAGATGTGAGGCCGAATAGTGCATTGTAGGATGGTCCGACTTATATCTGCCATTGGTTCCTTTTTATAAATAAGAGCAAAGAGCATGCTGGAGCCTGTGCCGTATTAGAAACAGGCTCAGAGGGTCATGGTGCTTTATACTGCAGCTCTCTGTAATGGGAATGGCAATTCTCCTCATTTCATTCTCTATTATTTAGAGACCTTCTGCTTTACTTGTTAACTGAAAGCACAGGATGAACATGGATGTGTGATAGAAATAAGTACATGTGTATGACTATCTTATTCCAACATTTCATTATCATTTTGAATAAATTATATTATTTTTAGCTTTTAAAACAAGTTTATCACAGGACAGAGAGAACTGCTTGATAATTTAAATGTATCAAAAGTATATGGTCCTTCTTTAGTTTAGACCATTTTTCCTAGTGCAATATGGTATTTGTATCTTATGAAAATATCATGTGAACACCATTCTAAAAAGCTCCTACTACTTTACTCACTGTCAGAGCTGTGACTTACATTGTTTTAACTAAGAAACGTTAGTCACTTTCTCCTTAAAGTCACATGTGTAAGTTTTTTTTTCTGTATGAAAGGTGTTTTTTCATATATGAAAGTGTGTGTGTGTGTGTGTGTGTGTGTGTGTGTGTTTGTGTATTTTTTTTCCAAGAATGAAAGCTATGCCCCTTCATTTACTACAGTGAGTGAGGGCATTGGTCTGGGTTACTGTACTGAATGACTGGAGTGTCTAGCTACCTTCAGAGAGGAATATTTAGATAAAGAATGCAAAGAGATAGACTTTTACTTATACTTATTGGTAAAAAAGGAATAATCTATAGATGTGACGGTCTGAGGCAGGCCAGTAAACAGTCTGCAAGGCCTTGAGAGTAAGTAAGGAGTGAGAACAGACGTCCTCAAGCCACTGTGTCTTTGGCCAGTGCTGCTTGTCTGT